GTAAGACGGCTGCACTGCCCCCCTATCAGGGCCATGCTCAAAGCCCCCCTTTTTTCCCTGCCCTGCAGCCCCTCATGCCTTGGAGCACAAGGCACCCGTGGTACGAAGCACAAAGGGGCACCGTTGAGCCAGGGCCGGAGCTGCTCCCCACCTGCTCCCGGGGCTCAGCCCCAAAGCGAAGAGCGGCAGTCGGACCTCCCGCTGGACGCCGACCCCCGCAGGGCAGCCGGGACCGCGCTGGGCTGGCGAGGGAAGGGGGTCCCTCGCCCCCTTGCCGAGGAGCAGCCTGGACGTATCTCGGAGGCAGCCCCAGAGACAGGGTCCGGCTGCAATCCAGCCCGGAGCCCCACCGCAGGAGGGCACGCAGCCGCGCCGAAAAGCCGCAGTCGGTCCGTCTCAGCAGCCGCAGCTCTTTCGAAGCTTTCCAGAAAAGCCAGCGTCCTGCTCTTCGGGGCAGCGGAACGCGGGTGCGGCAGGCACGCTTCCAGGTGCCACTGCTGACAGCCAGTCTCCAGGCGCCCACGGTGGGGCAGGATCAGCCCCCTTCACTCAGCAAGAGCTGGCAGTCAAGGGCAAAGGTCTTGGCATCTCCAGCCCTTCCTTGAGAAATGCTTCGAATCGTTTCTTCCGGCGACCCGGACGGAGCTGTCACCGATCAGAAGCACAGTAACCGGCTCCCCCCACTTTCCCCCCATCTCTCCCCGACAGACATTGCTGGAAAAGGCCACCCGGGCCCCGATTCTGGCAAGGGGGTTACCGTGCGTAAAGCCCCAGCAGAGGCAGGACGGGAACCGGTGGCGCCCGGGATCCCCTCCCTCCCTCCGAGCCTTGCCAGGAGAAAAGAAACCACCGCGGTAGCGAGAGGGAAGAGGGGGTAGCGTGGGCAGCCCCCGCTCAGAAGCCCCGATGTGGGGCGACGCTGCCATCCAGTCCTGAACGGGCCGAGGTGCGCCTCGTCACCAGAAGACAGCCGAGGTGCTACGGAGCCCCTGAGAGGCGGGAACGTTTCCACGCTGGCCCCGGTGAACAGGGAGGCCAAGGTGGGGACCCCCAGTTTCCACGGAAAACGCCCCTAAGTGGAGAGATGACCTTGAGGGAGATACGCAAGATCCATTACTAGGTGGACGAAGGGTAAAAATATTTCAACTCCACACCAGACAGACAGCATTCGGAACCAGCTAAAAAAGACGCCTCCCTAATTCACGGAAGTATAAGGAGGAGGAGGAGGAGGAGGAAGAGGAGGAGGAGGAGGAGGAGGAGGAGGAGGTCCAGCACAATCCAACTTGCAAAATCCTGTTATTAAAGCCAATCTGAATAAAAGTAGCTTTAGCCTTCCTGTGGGGTTGATTTTTTGGTTTGGCCTTCCTAGTGAGGCTGGGGATTCACTGGCACCCATCATCCCCAGCCTGATACCCTCTAGACTTGCTGAATTACTATTCCCATGCTCTCTACATTTGCTAGAAAGGAGCTCCTTTCGCTTTTCTCTTATGTTTGCATGATAACCTCAGTAGATTTGCTGTAAACCACGCATGGAAAACGCACGTTCCTTCTTATTTTCACTTTTGAAGAGACTCATGAACGCAGCCTGGGTTTTGATGTCACATTACGATGTGCCAGCAGGTGGCAGCACCTGCCTGATTCTATCTGGGTTTGGAAGCTAAGCAGGGAGAGAGCTGGATAGTACCTGGATGGGAGATACAGGGAATGCCAAGTTGTAGGTGGAGTTGGGAAAACACCCCAGAAAAAGAATCCCACATACGATACACCAAAATCTCCTGCATTTATCGTACTATCAGACCCAGATCTGTGATAAATCATCTATTCCTGGTGTAAAACAACTGTTTGTTTGATAACCTCCCACCAAGTCAGTGTGATTCTTGGCAACCGCATAGATAGATTTTTCTGGGGATATCATGGCTGGCTGGGGAATTCTGGGAGTTGGCCCACACATCTTCTGTCAAGGTTGAGAAACACTGGGCTAGACTTTAAGCAGGGATGCCGCAGGAGAAGACAGGCTGGTTACGCAGATGCAGGTTCCATGTAAGACAGATTCTGAGTACCTTATTCATTAGCCGTATACTGTATTGCATTAACTGTACTGTGACTGTATTAAAAACTTATTTATTGTGCATGTTCAGGCCTTCCGAGATGGCCTGGAACCTTTTGAGATATGTGAGTTCAGCACTCCGGAAGGGTGACTGATTCACGGTACCATTGTTGGGGTAGGTGGGCATCCATAACCACGTTCATCTAGAACCCTTCAACAGGATGCTATTGTCTGATGGTAACGAGTGTTGCTAATTAAGGCTACAAGATCTCTGAGATTTTAGTCGGGGTTTATTGTCTGTAGTTTCCGACTCTCTGCCCATGCACGGTTATTTGTACCAATCTTCCCTTTTCATGCATCCTGAACCTTGTTACCACCAAGGGCTCCCAGGGAAGACAAGCTAGGAAACCATCCGTTCTGCAACGTGACTTCTCCTTTGCGCCATCTGACCATTTGAGGGGGACGACGTGAAGCCCGCCCTGCCATTTGAGCCTGAGAGGACCGTTTAAAGGAAAGGGGAACGCCCTGCATCTTCTTTCCTTATCTTTAATAACGCTTAATTTACAATTAAGGCCTGTTACATTGTTTTGACTCCCACGGTGGGGGCGGCTTTCCGCCCAGCAGAATCCTCCAGCACACACTCCAGTTACAAGAGGGGGCACCATAGTTTTTAGTTCCTTTTTAACATGCTGGGATTTCTGTGATCTGCTGGGGCAGGCTGTGGGATTCCTGTCTGTCCCACCCGAGGGGTTAAGGACAAGAGTATCTCCTACACATGTAGGTGGTGAAAGCAAAGCACTACGAAGCCCCTGTGCCAAGGCGGGCAGGCAGGCCAGGGGATGCAAACCCCAGAGGACTTCTGGGAGTGGGTGGAGACCCCTCACCTCTCACCCTACAGGCCCAGCCCTGGCCATTACAGCAAGAAGGTACAAAGCCGCCCTTGGCTTGGAGAGGTGAGCATAGCTGGGGATCCAGGTCAAAGGAGGACACGTCCTCAAGTGATTTGGAAATACTGGAAAGTGCAGAGTTCAGCTCAGGTACTCAACTGAGCAGACAAACAGTTGCCCACGACCAACAGCACTCGCCCTGAGGGGCCATCCCTCCAAAGCAAAACAGGACTGAGGGCTGCTCCATCGAGCAACATCTGCCAGGAAGGCCCGATTCACAAAGGATCAAGATAACCTCCCTCTGGAGCCCAAAAGAGGTGCCTTCTATTGTGAAGCATATCGAGGCATGAGACCCTCGGGGGCTCCAGTGGAAATGGGTCTTTGGCAAATTCTCCAGGAAATTCCAAGGCCAGAGCAGCCTCCCTTGGGCATTCCAGGTGGCACCAAAGAGCTGGACCAGGAGATGACTCAGGCTGAAGGTGACAAAACCTGGTGCTCCACCAGCTCTGCTCTTACTCCAGCTCAAGTCACCCTCTGGACTTGGGCTTGAAGGACCTTGCTGAGTCCCAGCAGACACTGAAGAATCCCTCCGTCTTCCCATCGTCTCCCTACTCAACCTATCTAAGGAACCTACATCTCTTTCCACCCTTTCCTCAGGGCCATCTAACGGCCTTTGCAGCCTGTTTTCATTCTCCACATTACTGTCACACTTTTCCAAAAGGCTTAACTATTGGACGGCCAACTGAATCCCAGCTGAACCAGCTTGCTCCCCTAGCCCAGCCCTTTGCCCAAACCTCAGTTAGTTGTAAATTGGAGATTAAAAGACCTGGTCTGCACCCTTATCGCCCTTCTGTCTTGCACAGAGATGTCCACAGCCCACCTCACCAGGAACTCCGAACACACGCTTCCCCGACCCGTTCACAAGGTGTGCAGCGGTGCAGCCGAAAATCACACACAGATAACCGGCTTGGGATGGTAAAGCTGACCTCCCTCACCTAAAAACCCTTCCAGAATTTTTCACAACATAATTCAGAGTATATTACTTATTTGTTATTTTATTAGATTTAAAGAACGCCCGACTCCAAGCCACTCTGGACAATTTATATTATTAAAAAGCAGAGCAACAGAACAGAGAGACAGATGATAGGTGCCCAATGAGGAAAAAACAAGCTATTCAGAACAACACAACATCTTCCAGCGGCTCGCCAGCTACACTACCCCAGAACAGCCACGTGTTCGGTGCCTTTTAGAACAACATCAAGGTGGGAGATGGTATGGAGCGCACTCAACGTGGTCAACCTCCTTATTACGCATGAAACAGGCCACAGTCACTGTAGTGTCCATGCAACTGAGGTGATTCGAAAAAGACAAGGACTGAGGGTTGCCAGCTTCACGACAAGCCCTGAAATGCTGCTCAAAGTGCCAAAACCGCTTGCCGTTCTTGCCTGATGAGTCTTGAAACTAGTTTGCAAAATTCGCAAACCAAAGCCACCACCTTTCAGTCTGGCGGTATCAAGCTCCACGCAGCTAGGTGAGACCAAGGAAGCAAGAACTTCAGGAGGGTCTCCTTCACGTTAGTCCTGGGGCAGGCGGAGGATCTTGGAGCCTGCAAGAGGAATTTCCAACCCCCTTATGGGGGTCTCCTAAGGCCGAGTCTCTCGGGTGCTTTGAAACGCTTCCTCCCAGGTTCCTCCGCACCTGGGCTGGGCCGTCCTGTATGAGCTAAGCTGCCCCCCATCTCTTGAGCGTTTCTACCCGCTCTCCCTTCCTTCCCTTCTCCAGCTTCCCCACAATTTCTCACAGGAAGCCCTGGAAAGTTCTCCGAAAGCCTTCCTTGGGTTCCTCAAAGCCCACCCACTGGTCTGAAGTCCAAAGAGAGCATTTTTCCTGTACCTCCTTAAGGCCACGGCAGACTCCCACTGCATGAACACATCCATCATTTTAGCGTCTGTGCTTGTGATCGGCTGCAGCACTGCAGCCAATCCCAAGGCTGCCAGCCGAGCCCACCACCCAGATGCTCCCCACACTGTTGTCCTGTGGCAGCTACATGGTTTCAGCAACATCACCGTGTCAGAAGCCGGAAGGCAAGAGGCCAACCACGGCGGTCAATGCTCCCACACCCTCTGTACGCTTCTGACACATTGCCCGGGAAAGGCTTTTGAATCGTCTCGAGCTCCTTCTTGCCATACAAACTGCCTTTTCGACCTCTGACTTGAACATCCTGCCCTTTTTCCTCGCAACCGTTGGTCAACCTTTCGTCCATCCTGTTATGACCACACGAGGCAACACGTTTGTTCCAGAGAACAAGAAACTTCCTTCTGCAAATACTTCTGGGTGAGGAAAAGGTAGGTTTGCAAAGCTGGCTGTTGTGGTAGTTAGGGGTGGATCTAAGGTCAGGCAAAGGAGGATTAAGGAGCCAGAATAACTGGTTAGTACGCCTGGGGGGTGAGTGGCCGCATCTTTTATCGGAAGAAGTCTGTGTACAGGCCAGAAGGGCTAGGAAGACAGTTGCAGAGAAAACGGCTGGAGACCTCTCCTGGGTTCCCCAAATGCCCCGCATCACCTGCGGTAGGGGTAGGCATCCTCATGACTTCCAGGCCCAGGGGCATCAACTCCATCATCCCCAGTCAATGGGATTATGGGAGTTGAAGTCCCAAACCCCTGGAAGACCTCCCTCTGAGCAAGACCTCCTGTCTTCAGCAGCTGGATCAGAGCTTGCTAGCACAAGCGTTCCCCAAACAGTCGCCCTCCAATCGTGCCGGGGAAGGATGGGAACAGCAAGGCTGCTTCCTTCTCCCCCACCCCACCCCCCAGCTAAGAAGAGGGGGCTAATCAGAGACCTCACAAAGCTGCATGGAAAAGGGGGACGTTGAGGGTGAACAGGCTCATAAAAAGCAATCTGAGGTCCCAGATCAGCCCCCCACAACGCGCCCCGCCGGGTGTGCTCATTTCCCAGCCAGCACAGTCAAAGGCCACGCTGGCTGGGAACTATGGGGGTCTGGAGAGCCACAGGATAGAGAAATCTGTTCTGGAGTCTCTCCTTGCAGCTTGGACATGGGGTGGCAAGTTTCCTTCCCAGGAACATCAGTTGCAACAGGACAACCCTCCACAACTCTCCATCACCGCTGCACACACAACAACTTGCAAGTAGAAACTTGTTAAAAAAAACCAAGAGAACCAGTTTGGTCTCGTGGTGAAGGCCCCAGGCCAGAAAGCGGGAGACGGTGAGTTCTCGTCCCGCCTGAGCCGTGAAAGCTGCTGGGTGACTTTGGGCCAGTCCCCCTCTCTCAGCCCAGCTCACCTCACAGGGTTGTTGTTGTGGGGAAAATAGAGGAGGAAGGAGCATTAGTATGTTCGCTGCCTTGAATTATTTATAAAAATAATAAAGGTGGGATAAAAAATCCAAAAAAACCCCACTGTGGCATCTAAAAGATTAGCATCGATATTGTACCTAATTACACCGTACCAAAATAATCCAAGTGTTACCTTTCTTCTTCTCACCTTCCGACCGAAACTAAAGCCTATTTTGAGCGAATTCTTGTTGCTTAGAGACGCAAGGAAGAGTCTCTCTGTGCGCATGGGCCACACGCACTTCCACACCCCCACCACCGCATCCCACGAGTTTTGGGGCCCCTCTGCAGGGTCTAGCTTACCTTGGAGCTCCTTTCTGCTGCACGACTCGGGGAGGCAACGTGGGTGGGCGCGAGGGTACTGGTGGTGCTTTCTGGGCGGAGGGCTTGCTTTCCAGCTGGTGGCGCTTGGCAGGCAGAGGGGGCAGTGGGGGTTTGGCCGCCTCCTCCGGAAAGGTGGGGCTGAGTCTCTCGCCAGCCGGCTGCGGAGAAGGGCAACGCAAAGGGAAAGGCAAATCCAGGTAAGGGTCCCCAGGAGGCTCCGGGAGAGAAGCAGAGAACTTCACCGGCGGGTGGCAGCTTGTCCTTGGAGGGATAGGGGGTGGAACAAGCGGGAGGATGACAGGGACCTCCAACTCCCGGTCCGGGGGCGACCCCTTGCCGCTTGGCACTGCCAAGTCACGTTTGGCCTCTTGCTCTGGCAGGGAAGCAACTGTCCCCGAGCAAGAGCGGAAGATGTTGCGTTTCATGGGGATCGGCCTCCTGGGCGGCAACCGGGGACCTTCCGTGGTGGACGGAGACTCGGTGAAGGCCTTCATCAGGCCCGAGAGGATGCGCTTGCGATGGCCTGGCAGCAGGACCCCGAGGCGGGTGAGAGCCTCGTCGGTCAGGTGCTGGCAATCCAGGAGGCACCTCAGCTCGTTCTGCTCAAAGATCTCGATGTACTGGTCCAGGCGGAGACCTCGGAGCCACTCGGCCACGGGAACAGAAGGTCCTTCTGCCATGGCTCCGGAGCTGCTCGGGGGCTTCCTTGGCAAGCAGGTCAGATCATTCCTCTTGTCTCTTCTGGCTCCCAGGATCCACAGGGACAGCCACAACTGTGGAAGGAAGCATAGCACTCTCATCAGTGGTCAAGTCTTGCACCACCAACCCTGAAGGGCAAGACTCAAATAAAGCCAAACTCTCCAGGATTAGCTAAAGCAAAATCTAAAACATCGTTCTTTGACAATAACAACAGAAAAACACAACTAAAATCTGAGCAGAATATCGTAAGGGGTAAAGCTCAAATGAGTCTCGCTCTGCAAGAACGTACTCAACACGTGAGATGCCACCACCGCTTAACAACTGGTGATTAGACGATCCAAGCAACTGCTTTCCCCCACATGGTCCCAACCATGGGACCAAGCTCAATCATTGAGGACCTCCCTGAACGTTAGCCACTAAAATCAATGTGGTTGATTTAATTTGGGATGGGGCCACCACAAAGAAGGTCCTAAGTCTCTGGAACTCCCTTAAGATAGACCTGAATCTTGTTCCCTTTACGCTACAATTTAAGCAGGTCCCCATATGCTAATATGGCCCCTCTTGACTTCTATCCCCCATTATTAGTAAGGAAAATGATTCCCATACTTGTACATGTGGGTGCTGAAACTATTATCCCCAGGAGGCCTTAAAAGAGCACTGAGATCACTAACCACTCATTGTAAAGAACACAGACTGGTTATTAATTTTCAAAAAATGAAGTGATGCTGTTTGCACAGAGAACTAAGAAGCGCAACTGGAGAACGGAAGGTGACGTGATAGATCAGGTTCACAACTACAAATACCCAGAAGTAGCATTTTGCCCTAAGGAGATCTGCAAATCACATGGAATATACCATGCAAATAGCATCTAAATCCACTGCCACAATCAAGAGATTTCACTTGAGTAGAAATGGAGAGTTCGTTTTAGCAGCTTTCAAGCTTCTGAAGGCCAAATCTTTGGCCCAAATTCGATATACACGTTAGTTGGGATACAGCATAAGCGGGAGGCGAGTGTAACAGTCCAAACAATACTTCTGAAATTGATGCTCACCGCTCTCAAAAACGGTACACAGGAGAGAGTTTGGAAAAGCATAATTATTGACTTAAGAAGCTGTTCTTTCCCTTGAGACAGAATTGAGGAATATTTATTATTTATTTCTTTGAATGTATTAGCCGCCCAGCTCCAACGGACTCCGATGGAGCGCCAGTCCACTTGGAAGACGGAGGTAGTGAAGACGCTCCTGAAGGATTCACAAGAGACTCTCTGTTTTCCTTAGGATACAAGCAGGTTAGGCACATAAGCAACGAAGGACTGAATATCCGAATGAAATTTGCAGGATATCCAGGAATACGAAGGGGCAACCTGTGAATCATTTCCCATCACCTTCCCTTCCCAAACTGCTTTTCAGAACTCTTCCATCTGTGATCGAGGCCTTAAGACAATGTTGTCCAAACTTGGCCACTTTAAGATGAGTGGACTTCAACTCCCATGGCTGGCTG